CCGTTAAAAACTCAAAACGGTTAATTTGACGCGTCCCATTTCCCAGTAAGTGTGCCGTGCGGCCGCGACGAGAGCGAGTGTAAGTACAGTTAACTTTGCGCCCGCGCACTTTTACTTTTTAACTGATTGCCGATTCACTATGCGGGATACATGCCTTTTTTTAAATATTATCTCTACATCCTTGTAGTAGGTATTTTTAGATTATTTAAACACAAATCATTGCAAACAGTTTGATACTTATTAGTTTAGGTGTCTTCTTCTCATAGTGTCATCTCCTTGCGAAGCGCCTCATCATGGCTAGTTAAATTTTGTTGCCTTTAGTTTAGGCGTAATATACCTAAACCTTAAAGAACGAATACTTAGGAATATTGAAATCATAAATATCATTTAGAATATTCTACTGTTAGAGTAAGTCAGACCGTCAGAAATTATGACCTTACGACTTGGAACAAGGGCGGCAGCGGTAATATAGGTGCCAGTTAAAAATATAATATTATCTAAGCTAAGTAAGTAATCCTAAGATATTTTGATGCAATACCTACTTCAACATAAAAAGTACGTGCGTACAAAGTACACATGTCAGAAGTGAAACTTCTTTGGCGAACTAATTTTAAGTCTTGTTCATTTTTATACAAATCTAAAACTTTAGATTTACGAGACTTATAGGGGAAAAGGGAAGATATGTTAGGAATTTAATGAATTTAATTGTCATTAAAATATTAAGTCGAAAATTTCTACAAATTATAACTTTTTTTTTAAATTTATTTCTTCGATAATAAAAACACATGACATTTTAATTTACACTTCGTCATTTGAGATTTCAATAAATTACTTTGCATAAAATGTAAAATACGGAATTTTAATTTTAAAAATAGAATTTCTATAAGGTAATTCGCGGTTCTCACTCTTTCTCAATCGGTCTCAATCGCTCTCTCCCTTTTCTTCGACAAAAACGCTGCACATCTTCGTGACGCTAATATTATTATTATTGCGTTTCATCCGTAAAAAAATACCCTCATGCGTCTACAGCAGTTTCACTTCAACAAGACAATATATTATCAACTTACCTACCATTGATAGAGCCCAATATTTTTTTTGGGACATGAACTTAAATTTCTCGATTCCTAAGTTCTTATTAGCCAATTTTTTAGTATTTACAAATTATAGGATTTTTTATTATTTATTATTATAGTTAATTACTTAAATATGTCATGTGGAACATGGTGCAATGGTTGCAGCTCCTTACAAACATTGTGTAAAACAAAAAACTTGGCGATTAAAAAGAGTGGCGGAGAGTTTTTTGCCAGTTCTTCTCGTCCGCTCTACGCCCTTGATTTGAGAACTGGCAGTTTCTATGCAATTCTTTTTTCAATTTGCTGATTTAAGCAATTTAACAATATTGTGTGGAATCCTGACATTTGACTGAATAGTACATGATAACTGTAAATTTTGGTTATCATAACGAAAATGATATCATTGTGCGTGGTGAGTGACATCAAGTGGGGCAAGGTAGGAGTTTTTGTCGTTTATTGGATATTTTGGAATTTGCACAGTTATTATGAGACCGTAAAATGTGATTCACATTAACTGTACATAACCACGCAATATATAACAAAGTTGGGCAACATTATTTACGATATAATGATTGATAACCAAAGAAAGGCAGATAATGAAATAAAAAACGTTTTATTTCTTTAAAAATTAAAGTAAAATAAATTACACATTTTTTTACTAATCTGTAATATCTATATTCTAATTCTGCAGGTCATGGGCAAGCTGCATTCAGCACAAGCCAGCCGTTTTGATAATGTCATACGCCCATTTCGTGAACGGTCTTCCCCTGTATCGTTTCCCAATAGGGCCTCCCCACGGGGTCGCTCTTATGGTCGAAAGAAAGACAGATAATGACAGGTAATAAACTAAAGAAAGATATTTGAATTTAAATAGTAGATAATAAACACTACTTTAGCACTATTAGTAATACAAACTAGCCCTATTACTCGAATGGGGATTTCCGTTGTGCCACTAGACTCGTGGTTTCCAAAAGCCTCACACATGATGGTTATGTATGAAAATGAGCTCCGGCAATAAAAAAATAAATTCAAATTTTCTAAAAATAGTTATTAAATTAAATATGCGTTCTATTAAAATTTTGAATACTTGGCTTTGGTATGGAATGCTACATGTGTGGACACGTTAACACAGTCTTACCTCTCTACGACAAGCACAAAAGCTGGCGCTGCCGCAGAGCAAGCGGAAAATAATAAACGGCTCAAATATAAGTCTTTCCTCCAACTTTAAAGATTATACCATTAAAATATATATATCGGTAGATAGTACCGGTGACCCGAGACCTGGTGCTTTCCTCGCTCAACAAATAAATCGCGAAACAGAGAGGAAATACTGCCAGCATTAAACTTTAAAGGTACACTGCCACAGGGAGGGACTAAACTTTGTTTTAATTTCCTATTTATTAATTTTTAACTATTGTTATTACTATGTAGGCTAACAATATTATTAATACTGTGTATTTGATTATTTTGAAATGATAATTATTTTATATAAAGATCATAAAATAATATATTTGAGAAATGTCGACGTGATCCTTTGGCTAATATCAACTGACACAGCCAACTGCGTATTTTTTAAGACAGTGTTGTCTGCTGTTGCAAGCAATTATATTTTATATTTTTTTATTAATTATAATGATCAATATTCTTTTTTATATCGAGTTCAGAAAAGTGGCTAGTTTTATCGTTAGTTATGAGATGAAGGTATTTTTTTTATTTGTTATTTATGTAAAAGATATTATTGTGTGGTCTCGCATTAGTTATTACTGTAAGGGTAGAATAAATAGGTAACTTATATATATATATATAAATAGGTAACTATATATATATATATATATAGGTAACTTATATATAGTATATGGCCCCTTTATGTAATACTGCTTGTGCTTCAAATTTGACAAATGCTATTGATAATTTTATTATAGGTTTCGTCACATAGCTCATTTATTTTGGGTATATGGTGTGCTTATTTGATCGATAGTGCAAGCGCGATCAGAAGAAGGAAAAATCAATTTAGGTAAAACCGGGATTCACATGACATGAACGATCAAAATATAAAATCCGCATCGTATGCATCACAAATAAGAGCAGATAGAAAAAATCTAAAAGGCACAATTTTATAGATAGATGCGCATGCGCAGTGGTGTGAGTGCGGTGCTCGTCCGAGACGTCGCTCGGCAGTGGGTCAAGAAACAAGGTCAGGCCATTTCTCTTACTTGGTGGGGCTGCGTAGGTGCTTACTATGACTTTGCATGCCTTAACGATTTAGCTTGGATAATAATTGCTAAGCTGTATAAATGTTCAATTGATCCTACCCACGCCGGGTTTGGAAATTGGTCCATTTCGGTATAAATCGCATAAAATATTCATGCGGGCTTAAGTTAGTAGTCTACTTCCGCGCCCGTAGTGGGGTTTGGGGCTTATTTAATATTAATCAAAATAAAATATACCTACTATACAAATTTAGTCATTTTAATACATTTAAAAAGCGTCTTATATATTTAGACATTGTAGAAACAATTTAAATACCAGAGAACTTCATATAAGAGCCTGCGTGCAACAGCTTACAGCTAAAAAATCAGTGGCGCTATAACCTGATTAGGTGATCAGCCTCCTGTGCCTGACACGCCGTCGACGTTTTCGGTCTAGGCAAGCTGGTTTCCTCACGATGTTTTCCTTCACCGTTCGAGCGAATGTTAAATGCGCACATAGAAAGAAAGTTCCTTGGTGCACAGCCGGGGAACGAACCTACGACCTCAGGGATAAGATTCGCACGCTGCAGCCACTAGGTCAACACTGCTCTATATTCAACTTATATCTCAATGGTTCTACGGTGGTAAACTTGGTACAATGGTCTTACTAGAAATTTAGCCCACTTATTTGACCCGAATTCCAAAAACAACCGAATTGTAACCTACTTAATCAACTAGTAGTAAATTCAACCTTGCGTATACCTTGCTGTCGTAAAACTTAGCTGTTCAAAAAATAGTATATAGCAAAAGTTTACTTTAATTTAATGTTATTAGAGTTGATTTTTCGTTAAAATTTCGTCAATGAATTCATAAGTAGCGGTAAGCTCGAAGCTCTTTGCAATTTTACGAATTCGAGTTAAAAAAAAATAATGAGACTTAACTGCTATTTTCTTAACTATATATTCAGGAATTAAAGTTAAAAACAACTGACCATATGTCTAAAAGTTTACTAAAACTTCTAAAAAGCTCCCTACTAAAAATTCCTTAAAGCTTCTTTAAAACATCTTACATAAAAAATTATTAATTAGAACAGGTAGAAATGTCTGCGGGAAATACCAGGTTTATTTGAAAAAAAAAAACGAGCCACTATTTTTTCATTCATTTATTAACACACAATATAAATTTAAGTCAAATGTAATAGAAAACAATATTATTTTAATAATTAAGAAAATGAATCAACATTTTCTTTTCTTATTCTTATCTTAATCCTAATTGTATTTGTATTATCATTGTTTTAGAATACCAAAATTTTCCCGCCAAATTATGCAAAATTTGACGTAGAAAAGTATTTTATAGCCATTGCGTCATCACAAAGCATTATATACTATTGCCATAATATTAAAAAAAAGCATTATATATGCAAGAAAATACATAAAGGTATTACATTGTACACAACACATTGTATAGTCTTCAAATTGATGGAAATACATATAACGCAAATGCGAAAATATAAGACCAAGACATTTTATAGCTATAACTATATTTTAGATTCGTCAATTTGCAAATAATTCAAGTCAAACATTAATAATCACTTTCGAACATAATTGTTCAGAGCGCCATCTATTAGAGACTACGCGAACTACGATAACAAAAAAAGGTCTTACGGTAAGATTTAAATACCTATCAAAGAACATGATTTTGACAGTTTTGATTCGGATTTAGAATTGTGCGGTTTTTATTATTGCATAGATAGTTTCCTTTCCAATTCCAACCACTGCGGGGGCAGCTCATTGCGATAAGAGCCCTCAAGTGGGAAACTAGTTGAAACCTCCTCCATAAAGGCGCTGTCTAATTCCCTAGATAAGGGCCGTGCGTAAGGGCGAGTAACTGAGGTCAAGCGCCTGTTGTACATTAGTAACTCGTAGTGTTTGCGTTCTGAAAATATAATATTTTATTTAATACCTTATATCATTTAATGGAATAGAATCTATGGTAACACAGGTTAAGCTGTAGACAAGGAGTGACATTTATTTTAGAAGTTCTTTATTAATAGTTAATTCAGTTCATATTTCTGTTATTACAGCACCTCTTGTCTTGACCCACCTTCTATACTCGCCTTAATGTTTATTACATCAATTCAAAATTGTTTATTTTTACCATTTAGAAACTAAAATATATTTATTTATAAAAAACACTCCTGCCCTAACAGGCGACCCTAAATAGACAAGAGTGCACAATCAGTGAATAAAATTTACAGACGAAAAAAAAACAAACATCAGAAATTGATTAGGGAAAACAAAATTACATAATAAAAAATACAAGAAATTAACTAACTACTATAGGCACTAACAAATATTAGAACTTTTGACAGTTCACTCAACGGACAATGAAAAAGGTCCGTTAACCTATGTAATTCAACAACTAAATTAATACACCGAATCATATGTGCCCTTTTCAGAAGGTTAGTCCAAGCTGTGGGCACATGAAGTAACGGCGGACGATGTCGCTTTCTGATGTACCCATCAGGTACAATGATGATTGAAGCTAAGGTACTATTACTGTCCTTGCCATGTAACAATTCTATGAAGTACATCACAAGCGCGAATTCTCGGCGTACTCTAAGCTCGTTTTAGCGCACAGAACCAAGACTAAATAAGGTCGAATACATGAGTGGGTAAAAACGGTACACACCGTACATCGTAAGATAGATGTGCCTCAAAAATTTGTTTTGTTTTGTCCTCTTGAGCAAATCACTAGTGCTAGGGAAATATTCTTGTTATTTTATAATTTATACGTCATACAAATAACACAAATTAAAAATTGTACTAGGCAAAACCGCCTTAATTACTGAAATGCGATTGAAACGTCTAGTTATATGTAAAAATATTCAATAGGGTTATATAGTGTGAGGCCACATACAACTTTGTTATTAGTTTTGTCATAATATATAACTTAATTATAATTGAATTAAAGAAGTCAAAATGGTTACTGGCTGGTCGGCTACAGGCGATTTTTAATAAAAATTTGTTAGACCGTATCCAATTTATTTTTATAATCATCTTTTTTTTATAGATATTATATGTTAAAATAAATATTCCAAATATTTTTTATTATTAAATTAAATCTTTAAGACAAGATATTTGTTTGAAGTAAATAAATATTTTTATTTATTACTAAACTACAGACCCTCAGGAGTAGTAGCTTTGCAGTACTTGATGGTGTGCGCGTCGTCGCCAGTTGCGCCACAGCGCTCGCACACAAGATGTCGCAGTACGGGACACGAGAGCTTCCCTTCCGTACGCAGTCTGTGACTGCGGTACACTGCCTCACACTCGCCATTGTTCTTGCAAAAGCGACATGTCTGAAATTTATTAAGTACCTTTCAATTTACTCTTAACTATATAAAACAAACCGTGAGTATTTGTGAACCTAAAATCGTTTAAGCCCGATCAGTCATTTTAAACTTAACAAAATGTCCGTCGAATTTCGCTGTATATGCAAGAGGATTGATAAGTCGGCTTAACTTAAGACGGAAAAAAAAGACAAATTATAAATTGCATTTCAATTGAGATTAATATCTCGATTAATGATAAAGAGAGATTAATACCCGATGCCCATATAAATATAGCTAAAATCAAATCTGGACTATCCACCAACTCTCGGAGGTATTTACTATGTTAGATTTAGGCAGATATTTCGAATATGTATTTGCGTGTTGTTCCCACAAGAATGGAAGTGCGTGATCCTATGCTTCCTGCTGATAGAGGACAAATCTTTTTTTTAATTTATTTTATTATTATAAATTACTTAAGATGTCATGTGGAACATGGTGTAATGGTTGCAGCTCCTTACAAATATTGTGTAAAACAAAAAAAGTTGGCGATTAAAGAGTGGCGGATAGTTTATTGCCAGTTCTTCTCTTCCGATCTATGCCCTTGATTTGAGAACTGGCAGTAAATGTAAAATTATTTCATTTATATTTATTTTGACGTTTATAAGTGTACATTTTGTTACCTATATGAACAAATCATTTTTGAATTAGAATTAATGACCATACCCTAAATTCATACCATGAAAAAGGTCTTTCATTTATGTTACTTTAAAAAAACCAGGAATAAAAGGTAATCATGATCTCCGTGTACGCAATAATCTCTTTAATCAGTTAAAGAGTGGAGACTGATGGCTATGGATGACGACGCAAGTATTTTAGAAGGTTGGTGCATTAATAATGGTGCCCCACCACAGACTTGTATGAATACGAATACACAGAATTTAATCAGTCTGTGTCCGTGTAACCATGGAATGAAATCGACTCTGTTATTAATCTTAATATATATAAATTACGTTACGTTGTTTGTCCGCTATGGACTCCTAAACTACCGAACCGATATCAATCAAATTTGCACACCGTGTGCAGTTTGATCTAACTTAAAAGATAGGATAGCTTACATCTCAATTTATACCCGCAATATTATTTTATTGCAAAATATTTGTTAATTATTTGATAGTCACAATTCTAACAGATGGTTAGAATTGTGACTATCAAATAATGGACGTTTCACATAAGCTACAATTTAATGGCATAACGACCAAAAAAGCATGGTGGTTCCCATGAGTGGTGTTCTCCTGCCGTTTCCCTTGAATAGTTTGCTACTATGTAATATAACAAAAACTTTAGCCACAGCAACGCTTGGCCGGTCTGCTAGTATAAATATAAAATTTACTCGTGTTCAATATTGTTCTTACCTTATCCTTCACAATTTTATTCTTCGGGGCAATCTTCCTATAATAGTTTATGAAGAAGTAGAGAGCCTTCGAGGGTATCGTGTTAAGCAGCTGAATCTGCTCCTCATTCAGGTAGTTCTTCAGAACACCAACAGTAGTTTCATCGGGTATTAGTGAATCTGAAACGTTAAAAAGGTTATTGCAATAAAATTGTGAACACGCGATAATGCAAGAGTATAAATAAATATAAATACGTACACAAAGTAAGACAAAAATCATTATTTTTCTTTATATTGTTATCTTACCTATTTTTTTATAATTAATTTAACTATTTAACATAAGGATTAATGTAATTGTTAATTTATTTACAAAAGCTTGCCAACGCTCGGCACACTCTTATATTGGTACATAAAGAAAAATACAAGATTTAATGAGACAAAAATTACATCGATTCATGAATTATAGAAACTAAAGGAAAATTGATTTCAAAGTGTGAGAGCAAAAACTATGGATATAAAAATCTAGCCCGTTAATCAGAATGCTCAATTTGTATACCTGTGAGTTTTGGCCAAAACGCGTTCTTCTGAATGGATGGACAATACGTTGGGTACACGAAATTTAAATTTATTTAAAAGGTTGGCTCAATTAAATTTTTGGTTATATTTTTATTCTTAGAAATAAATTATTTTACTTATAAAATATAAGCATAAATTCAATTTTCTATCAAGTCGAAAATTATTCTCTTAGACTACTTTTCGCACGTATTTTATATTATTTCACCATTTCTGCTTAATGCTCAATGCTAGGAGTTTATTTGCGATAAAATTACCTAAAATAACATAATATTTATTTCTTTGTATAAGTTTTTTTTTATTGTCGTACAAACTGGTATTACAGACCTGATCTAAATTTAGAGTATAAAAATAAAACCTATTAAAGAAACCTTCCATTTAAATACCTTGGCCGTATGAAGCTTCCTGTGCACGTGTGGCCATATTTATCCCAAATGACGTTTGATGTGGAAAAGAAACCTCCGACTGACGAATGGGCGAATTTGGTTGTCCAATCCCCGAATCAAAAGATAGGGGAGAAATTTTCCCGTAGTTGGCTGCAGTCGGGTATATATTTTTAGCTTCTGGGCACGATCTTTGGGTGAGGTACTCTCTAGCTGGACCAAAGCCTGTTAAGCCTGAAAAAGTCGAAGCTCAAGCCTCTGTAGGGGCCCCCTCTATATAGATGCCAAAGCACCACTGACCTTTAGATACGGGTTTTAATATCATGCTAATTGCCGGTAGCGAACCATCAATATAAAGTAAAAAAAAAAAAAACATCTAATGACAAACAACTTAACCAATTTTGTCAATGACACTGGAAGGAACTAGCGTTTAAGATACAGGCTAGGCCTAGTTTAAACGCTCATAGCAGTATATTATGTATAAGGTTAATCAAAATGAATATTGTATCTCAACGATTCTTTGTCTATTGTATGTACTTACAATCTTTAGAATGTAAGTACGAAATGTAATGTTTTTACGTCAAATAAAGTGATTTTTATTTATTTACTTAAAGTATTTAAATGTCAGAGTAATACATTGAAATAATAATTTCAACCGTACTACACTTTGATGTACCTATGTACTTTGATTGTTATTATTATTTCAATATGTTAGAGCATCGTTAAAAATAAACATCCTTAATTAGAGTCCGTAACTCCCAATAATGAAGTTTTGCAAAGTTAAATATCGCACATCTAATGCGATGATGTCGATATGTGTTAGTTTAAATATGATATAACATTAATAATTTCTTAAGCAAATTGCCCCTTGCTGGCGAAATAGAAGCGCAGAAATTATAGAGTTACGCGAATAAGCTTTAGACCTAACATTTCGACGGAATAAAAACAGTTTTACAGTATCCGCCAAGCGTGAGGATTTATCATTCGGGTTGTCGTCCCACCACGTTATGTAGGTAATTTACAGACTTCCAATAGCGATCCCTACTTTGATTCCGTGCAAGGTTGCAACATAAGCGCAACATCGATGTTGCATACAAAAATGGGATCGGTGTAACGATTTAGAAATACGTCGTATTGGGGTTGCGAGTTGAGTAGCATGGGCAGGGTTATCACCCACTCACTTCCACGCAATAAACGCAGAAGCACATTCACGTAAACTTGAAAGTAACGGATTGAATCTGTCAGTGTAATTTCTGTCAAAATCTACATTCATATTGGCGGTTTTCGTTTCGTTTCACATGTTTTGAAATACACGCTGCTTGAAAAATTCATAATTAAGAGAAAAGTATAATATGTACGTTTCGTTACACGAATTTCAATACAATACACAAAATTTTATTTCATTTTTTTTATACTTAGACGCAAGGTTCCAATCAAGGTCCCCCGAGAAATCTACATATTCAGTATCATCAAATTCAGGCGACGTATTTCTAAATTTAACCCCGGGATCGGGATTGCTATTTGGCGCTTCAGAGTAATAGCCTAGAAGTGGATAACAATTATTTATAATAGCCGAGGTTCGAACTGAAGACCTCTTCAGAGTAACCTAACCTAACACATTTACTTACCTATTTTAAAAAGTGTGTCGTTTTCAGGTTCATATGGTAAGTCGACCCCATTGCTACGGAACTCTTCCATGACGTCATTATAGGTAGGCATTTTTGGCCCTGTAATATTAATACTTAACAATAAAGTCTAATGGAAAAACTTTGTATTAAATTATTCAATAATAATATTTGCTTTTTATATGTATAACGTAGCTTTTGTAGATTGAAAATAAAAAAATTCTGTTTAGATATTTTTTACTTTTAATCAAGGGTACCATTTGGAAATGGGCAAACATTTCCGGCATTCTGTCGAGTCCTCCCAATGCGCCAGAAGCATTTAATAAAATAATTATAATTTGTTAATTACTAGATCGAACCCGATACTTCAGACGTACTAAACCCCTTAGGCCTTAGCAAGAAGGCTTTAAAAATAACCTAAGTTTTTTCCACTCTTAAACATTTAAAAAATTAATAATAGTTTTTTTTATAGGCATTCGGGCAGGAGGCTCACCTGATGTTAAGTGAGCCCATAGACATAGACACTATCAATGCGAGGGCTCGCGAGTGCATTTAGTAATTGGTACGCTCTTTTGTGGAAGGACTAAGTCATATTGGTTCAAAAGCATCTCGACGGGCAGCTGATTCCACATAGCGATGGTGCGCGGCAAAAGTTTACAAAATATTTTTTTAATCGAGATAGTGTTAGGATTTAAATTTACACTACACTTTAAACTTAAAATATGACTATTATGTTATACTAAACAAGTTGATTGTACCGCCTAAACGAAATCTGTATTTGTTTTTGCAAAGCGATAAAAATATATTCCCCAGACATCGAATCTAGCGTGACCGGATCCATCATAAAGAATAATTAAAAGTAGAAGAGAAACATTACCTGGTAAAAATCTCGAAGATGGACGAATAGGAGTCTCATTAATTATGGAGTTCATGTTCGAGTTCCAAACCATCCCCTAGAACAATTAAATATTACTTCCCTTACACAAGTAAAGTCTTCAAATAAATATAAAAATGTATAAAGAACTTTAAGGTTATAAACAAAGGTCTAACACAGAATGGCGAAATGTTTCTATTAAAAATTGTATTTCATTTACTTCCACGTGCTAGATGCAATAAGACGCCAGACGAACCAAATACAATTTTAAATATTAATAAAATATACATATGTATCTGTAAATAAATAAAAAACTAAATATGAACATCAGTGGTAAATACTAATTTGTAGGTGAATGGCGAATAAACGAATAATACAAACATTGAAAACAATAAATATATAAAATTTTAAAAGGAAAGGTAATATAAATATAAATGAATATAAATTATTGAAATAATTTAATTAATAAATTGATAGCTCTAAACGTATATTGTTATTACTTTAAAAAAAGATAAACTTTCGTAACTAATCACATAAAATTGCTTATAAAACTGAAGTAGAAGCAAACTAAAAGAATAAAATAGATTCTAGCTCCAATGTAAGAATCATAAACTACACTGTTCTAAAATATAAAATGAACTTTAAAATCTCTAAACCTAACCTCTAATTAATATTAATAAAAATATATTAATACTAAAAGATAATAATTAGACAAAGATACTCACTAAATCTTAAAATCAACAATTAAATGTATAAAATTTCTTTAGTTATTCTAATTTCGTTCTTGGCGTCCGCGTCCTTCGAACTTCTTTTGAAGACTGAAGAGTAATTACTAATTACTTTAAAATATACGCCACATATTTATATGGAGCTCACCGAGTAAACAACCCGTAAGGCAAGATGCACACGTCCTAATATACCAGAACATTCTACAAAACAGGTACGATAGAAAAGTTAAACGATAATAAAGTTTTGTTTTATATACTATGACAGGCGTTTATTAAAAAGCAGAAAAATATGAAAAATACACGACATATTAACGTAATTGCTTTATTTATTTTTAGATCTTAATAATTCGTTATTCACAAATGTTTTTTGTAAATATCTTTAGTCCTTCGACATTATATGATTTATATAATTTTCTTTGAGATCAAATATTGTATACAACTGCCCTAATGGATAACCAAAAATTTAGTTATTATTACTGCATTTGACCTTGATAAAGTCACCATGACTATTTTTCTAACTACCCTCAATAATTTACAAAATTGAATTTGCTGTTGCTCGTTACCCACATTGAAGAGAATTTAATTGCATTCAATTTTGCCATAACAAACATACATATTAAGAAGAAAAACACTCAAATTTATAATTTTGTTTGGTATCTACGAGAATTTTCGTTCATTGTGTTTATTAATGCAACTCAAATGCTTATTATGTAGACATACAGTAGGTAAATTGTTATCGTAAATATTCTTATATATTATGACTATCAATGATTTTCCTAAAATATACGTAATTGAGTCATATATATTATAGTATTGTCATCGAAAAATTAAGTTTTATGTATCTATGCTTATTAAGTGAAAATATTTATATTTTAGTAATAATAAACTCAAAACTCATACCCAAGGAAATAAATTTACAAACTACTTGAGCGATTAATTTTTTTGTCATAATTAGAATACTGCATTGTCATTGAAAATATGAAAAGGCCAAAAAGGTCGTAAAAGGCCAGAACAGCCAGAAAATTTGGTGTCTCGATGTCTGTGGTCGTGTCGTTTCCAAAACAGATTGACCTATTTTATATTGGTAGTTAGACTTAGTAGATTATGTCGTAAAGCATATTAAATATCCCTAGGAGATCAAGGTGAAACACACGAGTTTTTCTTCTTTATATTTTTCGACAAAAAGGCGATATACCATCAGGATATTGACAAAAAATTCGCGGGTTACAGGTAGTTCTTACAATAATTATATTTAAGATTATATAACTTTTTGTGTAATTTATGTATACGGTATATCTTTTAAATCCAACGATTTTTTTAGATTTCGGTAACTTATGACAAGAACTTACCTATCAAAGTTGGCTTTTAAGCCAACTAAGAATTAATAATACCAAATCATTGTAATGTCTTCTTGAATGAAAATCTTCTTCAAAACCCCACCGGTAAGTTTAACAATTTCTCATAATTTGTATTGAACATAAGGTTATATACATGAAGTATATAACGTAGGTTCGTTAACTTGATTGAACTGGACTTGAAAAGTTCCCCTGTATGGAATGAAAAAACTCAACACTACTTGCTAAGTAATAATTAGAGCAACAATATTGCGTTGCTTTGGCTCAAATTTTATTTGCCGCGTTTAGTCATAGGTTTATTTAACGCTAATCTGACACCTATGACCTAGTGTAAATAATTACAACTGATCTCGTGCCGATTGTTTATAAATTTCTTCAAACGCATTATAATTATGTAAGTATGTACATATTATATGAGTATCAAAAATTGGTGGGTTTGCTCAATGTTTATGTTACCAAAACATGACAATCGTACAAAATACAAATGTTTTAATACATAGTTGTGTGCATACGTGTCTTATAATTGTAACAACGTTGTCTGTTTAGTTTAAAATTTTTATTTCATTTTTCTATTAATATTGATAGCACTTATCCCATAATTTAAACGTTGAAATCCAATGTGAGCGCCACAGACAAACATAACTAAACATTCAGTCACAGAATATGCTCTATACTCTATACATAGCGCATCTTGTATGGAGATTAAGCGTTCTTCCCTAATCCCTACGATTATTACACTTTTGGATTTTATTGGAAAAGTTATTAAGGTAAGCACTTATATAAAGTAATATAAAATGACTGCCTATAAATCCAGCACGTACTATAATTATATTATAACCACAAAATAATGAATAGAGCTTGCCACATATTTTGTCACATAAATCGTTATTTGCTATACTGCCATCTGAGATGATAACGGGATATAACCAACATTCGAACATAACTAGTACTTTTGCGTGTTTTATAAAAAGCTAGCAAGATGGCATTGTGCGCACTAGATTGAAATTGGACGTAATATTTGATATTAATAGGTAAATATTTAAGGCATATTTTATTATCTTACTATACTGTAAACCGTTAAGCCAAAGTTTTTTTTACGAAGTGCACGAGTAATACGTTTAAATTTAATTCGAGTTAATTACTAGAATTAATTATTTGACTGCCATCTAGAATAGTAACTTGACATTATTCATGTTTCAGAGTAAAGTGCTCCACTAGATGGCATAGTGCTTTACTGACAAAATTACGGAAATATTTGAGTAATGTTAAACTGAAAACTTAAACATAATTTTGACGTTCTTTAACTGACCCATAGTTCCCATGACAATATATCTTAACAGAACATGGAAAAGATCTTATACTATTATAAAACCTCTTTCTAGTTGGCTTGGTTGGAACATCACATGTCATTACCAGCTTTGTAACAGTACTCTAATGCCCGCCTTCCACGACCCATTCCGGACTCCGCTATACTCGTAACGATGATTTTCGTACATGTGCTTCCACTAAAGCGGAGACGAGCGCAGCGGAGAGAGCGAGTTGAAAGTTCACCGAGTTTCCCACGGAAATGAAAAAGTGAATGAAAATCATCGCACCGAGTATAGCGGAGTCCGTAATGGGTTCGTTCCGCTCGCAGTGGAAGGCGGGCATAAATAGGGTAGATTTTTATTATAGTTTTTATATTATAGAGAACTACATTAAAATTTCAGACAAAAATGTTGGAATTTGTGCAGGTGGTGACTCAATAATCATGAACTGTCGACGAAAACGACAAATAATGTTAAAAGCTTTATTTAATGTAACAATCTAACTGTAGTTTTAATATTTAGTTGGCGTCTCCGAAGTACTCCTGCGCAGCCTTAGTGTCGGGTTTGATAGTCTTGGAGCCAGGGTGCCAGTTTGCAGGGCAGACCTCACCATACTTGTCTGTGAACTGGAATGCTTGCACCAGCCTCAGAGTCTCATCTACAGAGCTGTGGGAGGAGTATTATATGAGAAAGGAGTTGACATTGTTGCTCTTTTATTGATAATTATACAAGGAAGGCACGAAGTCTTATTGCCGTCCATACAGAAATATTTCATACACTAAAACTTAAAATAAAAATTAGTAGTAGTAGGGGTGTTTGCTTTTGTAAAACGTTACGATGCGGGGCGGGGATATGGTGCATCACATGGGGTGGGGGGTCAATAATCTTTAAAAATTGCGTGACATAATACTTGAACGCTCCCTTACAATAAACTAAGTAAAATTCTCTTACCGGCCAACAGGAAGGTCATTGACGGTGATCTGTCTAAGCAGTTGCTTGTCATCAATGATGAAGAGGCCACGGAAGGGAATGCCACTCTCTTCATCTAATATACCGTAGTCCCGGGCGATGCGGTGAGATTTGTCGCTGATCATGGGAATGTTCATTGGACCCAAACCCCCTATTTAATAAAGATTCAATTAAATATCCTAAACGTCTCATCTTATATATATAGACACAATTGACATCCATAAAAAGAGAATGATTATATAATCACTCACAGACACATGACAATATAAGAGAAAAGGGAGAAAACTCACACAAGCACAGAAGTAAAGGGCTTAAGCGTTATACAATATTTTGATAATTACCGAATTATTTATATAAAACAGACCAAAAATAACCTCTAAATAAAGAAAAATTCGATATCAAAACGAATTACGAACGAAGGATATTTTTTTAGTCCAAACTAAAGGCTCTAGAACTTTCAGCCATTATATATATCCTTAGAACCATTACCATAATTAAAAAAAATTAATGTACATTTTGGAATTGAAAGAATTGTTGGCATTTTTTCGTAACGACAAAAAGCAAACAAACAAATAGAAATAACAAACTTACAGTCCCGTGACGCGAACCACACAAGACCTGATTCTCGAGGCTTTTCATATAACATATCCCACATGAAAAAGCATTTGACAAATATTGTTTTATATGTAAAGTACATGAAATGTACTGAGTTAATGAAAATAGCAAAAAGCCCTTGATAACTATTATTTTCTGTTAGTTTTGTTGTGAAATTTATTAAACTAAGTATAAAAGGAACACGTTTCGTGTAAACATTGCAATAACGTAATTTAGGATTTATCATGTATTCAACTGTGAATGTGTTTCACATATTTTACCAGAGTAATAACTAATAAATAACCGTTAATAATTTCGACCTAATTTTTTTTTATTAGTTGTCAAATGCTTTGCCCCATTGACCCAACGACCACTCACTGTAATCCCCTACTGAGGCCGAACGTTGTCGCGGGTTGGGTGGTTCGCGTCGCGAACAAAAGCTAAAATTTTTTAATGAACGCAGACAAAGGAAGCCGCCTTCATCTACAGAAGCACGTCTAGGGCTGCCTGCAAATAGCCTTTTAGATTGATGACAGTTAGTCTTCATATGCCATTCTATAACATACCATTCATGTGTGTGAAATAAAATGGTGAGTCGAAGCGACGGCAATGGTTCTAGTAAAACATTCAACCTTTTTGAAGTTATACTTCTTTAGGCGCGTTATGAAAATGAAATTTTACGATGCGCGCGCGTGACACAAAATTAACAGAATGAAGTTGCCCACCGAAGATGCTACGGTATTGGACATAATTTAAAAACAACATTCGAATAATAATAGAATTTATGTTACACTTAATGTAAGAGAATAATAATAAATATTTATTTATTTAATTTTTCAAATGTAAACTGAACTTTATTGACTATAATGACTCCTTTTCCAGTCTTTGATTATTTAATTGTAATTAATTATTTGCATGCAATCAAAAACTATTTTTAATAATGCCAAAGAAGTATAACTTCTTACGCGCGTACATAAGTACACGCACCCTTTTTTCTACAGGCAGTCAATAGCTGTACACATACTTTATTAAATACACTTGCGAAGAGGCAAATAAATACAATTTTATTGTAAACAGAAAAATCTGGACAAAATATTTTTTTTAGTAACAAGAACTAGTGAATTTGACCAATGGCTGAATACTGAATACTAAGAGATTCCTGGCCACATAGCCTTTGCTAAAATAAAAGGTTTACGATTATACTACGTATTGAATGAAATATTCTATATATCGAAAGTACTGACCCTGTTTGCGTGGTGTGTTGATCCAGGCGAGATGTGTAAAGTGTGAGTCAGTGGAGGCAGCGATAACCTCACAACCGATCTTACGGAAGTCATCAGCGCGCTCTGAGAACGCGATGATCTCCGTTGGGCAGACAAATGTGCTGAAAATTTCAAGTTTTATTATTAACAATTATTGAAGGTGATTTTTTAATAGATTTTTAGTGAACATTTCAATAAAGGCTAATTTAATAAGATAAAAAAAGTCTAACTATAAAAATGTTAAATAAGAATTCTTTCCGTTCCAAGTGTTATACACAACAGTAGCTCATGGAACCGTTGCATTTGATGACACACATTTAAATGAAAGAAAAAAACAGTAAAATCCGTATATCTATTTTCGGTCAACGAAGTTAGAAGTTAAATAAACATATAATAGAAATTAACATACATACTGATGTTATAAATTATTTAAGAAATAATGTGTGTCCAAAATATCGGTGAACTACAAGGTAATTATAAATTTAAATGATCAATTGAATGTGATTTATTTCCGTCACAGTTCATTCTAATTCTATAATAATATTGCCTCGCGAACGGGTTTTATATTTTCATATCTAAGTTAATGAGGGTGAATTTATTAATTATACTGGAAGATAAAAATCTTAGTTTTATAATTATTAAAATTCTTCGGTCATAAATCTCTAATATGTTTAGTACAGAATATGTTGGAACCAATTTAAATTTAAATCTAATATAACGCGTATAAAATCATTTTATTTCTTTTCGAATACGATTATAGAATACTTACAAGTCTAGTGGATAGAAGAACAGGACGACGTATTTGCCTTTGTAGTCTGAGAGAGACACGTCCTTGAACTCCCCGTTGACTACAGCCGTGGCCTTAAACTGGGGCGCTGGTTTGGTCAGTTGAAGCGGCATTTTGTTGAAACTGGAATTGGTTAAGGAAAAACACGGCTTTGAAAACCTCTTCTTTCGGGATTTTTTTAATAATTTTTTTATTGAAAAATATTTCTGTCACCTATGTCTACATTGCTATGTGCCTATTATGTTAATATAATATACGAGTACATATTACCATTATGTATTATATATAAAATAGGTCAAGATTACATAAGCAACAAACAGTTATATGATAAAATGTTTAGAATAATATTATAATTAATACAGATTTGAATACGGCGAAATTGAATTTCGACCACGGCCAGTTCCTAATAAAATCCAAAGTATAGTTTCTGTTAATTGCTTATACTAATCATCGTTTCCTTAGATATCTGTATAAAAACAGAACAATGATGAAATATTGAAGTAATAAAATTTCGTCCTTGTCGTAACGATATATGAATTTTCTACATATTACCGTTTATAAACCGTACAACCTAACCGCTCTTATTACCTGGTAAACCGGTTATATGAACTATACACTAGAATATTCATAATAGTTAATTGGAAATATCTATTGCTTGTTACCAACCGTACCATAGTTTAAGATATAAAGAGGTAAACTTTATAAGATTTCAACTGCCTTATATACAGGAAAAATATCTAAATTTACAATGACATTTTTATACACGCTTCGAAGTTGCATACTACCAGATTTGATTAGCATATGTTGTGCAAAAGCCGAAGTTAATGCTGGCGTCATCTGCGTCACTTATGTTATTTAATCTAGTTTAAAACGATTAAGTTCCTCGTCATCTGTACGTTAAGATCCTTGAAACTACGTTACGTTTTTCATGTATGAGTATTACAGTTAGCGAAGTCACGACTCGGAATTCTTTTAAATGACGCGGGCTAGTAAATAAATATAACTTTAGTAGTCGTAATAGTTGAAATCTTCTGTTTCCTTGGTGCCAATTTGAACTATTTATCAATATATATTGAAGGTAAACACTTGTTGTGTGACGATAAGAAAACATTTAAAACTACTCGACTGATAGCATGTTTTGTTATCAGTATAAAAATTCACGAGACAATTATTACAACAATTTGTACATTTTGGTAAAATACCTATATCTCGTCTATGAGGTCGTTCAAATATTACGTAAGCAGATTTACTTCAATTTATCCCCCCCTCTTGTTAGCAAAAGTAAGTAAAGCTCTCATAAATTACAGTACATAAACGTATTAATTTTATGTAGAAAACCTTGAAATGAATATCGTTTTCGAGCATAGACAATGTGTGGGTAATATGTGTAAAAAAGTAAATAATTACTGTTGACGTAATCACCAAATAAGAAAATCAAAGACCCCCTATAGTGCTTACGTAATACTTGAACGGCCCCTATGACTTATTTGTATTGTTTCACTATTTCTTTTGTAAAGAGGCATTTTCAGTCCCAATAATTGCTTTGACGGTCACAGTAACGATGTTACAATTAGGTGATTTAAATCAATACCAGCGCCGATGGCTAAACCTCTATTAGAGATTACAGAGTACCATAGCTGGCTTCTTCCAGAAATTTTGCGTGTTAGTGGAATAGCGTGACGACTTATAGAATCATTGTAAGCGATATTATATGTTGATTAAAGGGTCTAACATTTATAGGAAAAATCTTTCATCCTAATTAAACTCAATATTAAACGTAACAAGGAAAATTTGTACCTATTCGAGTTTCCTGACGTTTTTCGGTTAGTTACGTCATATGGGAATTCTATTTAATTAAAATTGTACTCACAACTTTACCTCACTATAACGAACTTGCGCTTACCGCTATTACTAAGTTTCACAACCTACACTATAACTATAGCCATTTATAACGAACCTAAGACCTTTCAGAAAACAATCGGTACGTATCAAACAAACGGCATGGGGCAAGTAAGCGGTCTCTCTCCAGAGTCTAACTAATAATTTTCCGTCGCCTTTATAAAGAAAATCCGATAAAAGTCCACAATTGAGCATGTTCCTAACGGCTCTCTCGAGGTTATTCACCCTGGGAACAATTTACTATATTTATGATTATACAAGACAATGTTTAAATTTTTCCAGCGATGGTAATCTTGCTAACAATTGTAGCACACTTAATTTGAATATTAATGTATTTATTTGAATCTGAAATGCTTAGAGCCAATTCTTGGTACGAACGAGTCATTCGTCAATGGTGTAAGTTGTAACTAACAAATATCTACAAGTGTTATTCATGATCAAAAATTAAGCCAACTAAACATTCTCAACAAGCTACGTGTTCAAACCTACCCTCAAGGGAAAAAGCAATTTGAATAACATTAAAACTAACCACGCTTATAATTGAACAAGTGTGGTTTCGTTCAGTTAATTAGTTTATGGAAAACTATTAAAATTATACTGATTTTGTTTGATTTGAAGAAAAAAATATTGACGTTATATGGTTGACGTCAAAATAAATATTTTCCAATATTAAATTTAACTTAAAAGGAATTGTATGTTCACAAAACAAATTTATTATAAAAAATATTGTGAATACAAAGTGCGGTGGATAATCTATCAAAGACAGGTTATGATAATGCAATCCATAGAGCTTGATAAGTAGAATCTTAATCTACGAGATCGTTGACGTATTCAATGATATTACCTACAATACATAACAAAAATACAACACTTTATACTTTTAATTATTTAAATAGATAAAAAAATGACCATGAATCAGATTCAGAAATCTGAGGCCCAGACCTTAAGAGGTTGTAGCACCACAGATATAAATATTAAAGTATCTTCCACACAAATAATCAAAACCAAGCATTAAGTCTTGTTATGAAATGTGGATAAAAGTTACTATTGTGTTAGTAACCAAGATACCATTCTTTTCATTTGGAAATAACATTGTATCATTGTAACAAATACGGTCCTTTTATTCCCTTCATGGTAATAGTGTTGCTAATCAATACAATTCATATAAATTTTACATTAAATACTTGTTTCAAACTAACTGAAAAAATACCAGTATACATTACATAAATCAATATTAGTTCAATTGGATAGACTACTATATAATATAAAGAGTACTAATAATAATCCAAATCAACTGTATCCAATTCAATTCTGCCAGCTAGGACTTAATTAATTTGTATTCAAATATTAAGAAATAACTAATCAAACAACTTTTTATTTCACTATGTTACTACTGTTTCTACGACAATACTAATTTTATATGGTACACTACTAAACAAAAAAGAAAAACCTCATAGAGAAAGGTCTCATCATGGGTAAAAGATGCTCTGGCTTCTGTAAGTCGAGGGCATTGACTTCATCACCCCGACAATAACATTTATGATCCATGGCCATTGTTACTTGACAATTTGATCAGCTGTGATAATTTATGTAAATTGTGTAAATAAATAGCATATACAAGTATCCAGAACACTAAATTATACAATTTGTAACAGGATAAAATAATTGAAATCCAATTGTAGTATTGTGAAATAAGTGGCAATTTATGAATTAATGCTGGTTATGTTACTTTTATATCACTTCCAGCAAAAACTTTAATTGCAGTCAGGTTATTTTGAACTTGATAATATTTAGATAACCTTAAGTTTGGATTTATAATTATTAAAATCATACATAAGACATAATGTTTAAATATGTATATATGTTCTCAAAACATTGTGCTAATGATTCAGCATTTGTCTCAATCTTAAAGATAATTAACCGAACTTCATACTACATAAATTTGTTTTATTTATATATATTTCAGATATATATTGTTATAGATATAAAATTCACCAGTAATCCATTTAAATAAACTAGCTTATGAAGTCTACATGCACCATGCTTTGTGGTAATATATAAAACAAATAGATAAGGCAAAATAATAAAGTTATAATCATGCCATATAATTACACTTGGAATGTCTAATCATATCTATAATCATTAGAAGTATGTATTTGTTGGGATTGTAACAACTTTTTGTATAAATGAGAGTGAGTATGAGACTAAGTATGAAAATACAGATTTTAAAATAATTATAGAATGTACTATAATGCAAAATGTACAAAATTTATCCTTAGAAATATCCTCATGCCAGCCCCTAAATCGCGTCATTAAAATAACTAACCTTGAAGTTAATAATTTTTTTGCAACATTCCCAACCTTCTGACTGTCTGATTCACTGCGTTCTCTTTTCCTACTTATTACTTCTTGCATCATATTAACCTTTGATCCAAAGAATTAGATACATTTTACAAATGATCCGGTAAAAAAGTCAATATGATTTCATACTATACGTAGGTACCGGAGAAGTTATTGAAAAGTACTAAACCACGTTGCAATTCTTATTAGATATTTGTTTGTTTTGAAAGATGTGGAAATTTTGAGTTGAAATGCGACTTAAGGTGGTAGGTATGTACAGAGGTGAGTTATAAAATATTTCTAGATAAATCTATCAATTGGGACCGTAACAAAAGACGGCCGAGACGATGGCAATGGTGAATTTACGATTTAAACTACATTTGATTTAATTATTGTCAAATGAAGCATAATAAACTATAGTAACGGCATTAATCAAAAGTGTACTTACAATTAAATTAGAAGAATTAAACTTGAAAATTACAGCGACGCAGCTGTCCGGCAACCGTTTCCTAGAGTAATGAAAAAGAAAAATGACACTTGAACAGTGAACTTTGAAGTCTGCAGCTGTCTGTAGAGTGAAGTAGTGTCAGTTCTGATTTATAAGTTGACAATTTGCCGCATAGAACTTGCCAGTACCGTAATAATATTTTGTAAGTACAAAATAATATAATATTAATATTACCGTTCATTAATGAATTTGTTTATTTTAACTATAATCTCTTTATGCGTTATGGCTATGACTTGGAAGTAAAGTTAATATTTAACTAAGTAAGTAAGTGGTAACATTGGTTGTATAAAATGATTTAGAAATTATTAATTCGACGTAGAACTTTTTTATGTTAGTTGCTTTATATTTACTTGCTGCATACTGTAC